TCCTAAAAAAAGGAGGTTTACGCGGTTTTTCGAAAAAAGGGCTTTTTCCCCCGAAAAAACCGCATCCAGGCTACTTTCACTTTCAAAAGAGCCTCTTTTGAAAGTGAGATTGGAAGAAGATATGCAAATTCCCGCAGAATTTGCATCTCCTCTTTCAAAATTAAAACATAGTCTAGACGCGCCTTTTGTAAGGGCTCTTCGCCAAAGTAGGCAGGGATGGAAGCAAACTCTGCAAAAGCAAGCTAGCCCTGCCCGGGTGGCAGAGGCCTTCTTTCCCACCTGCCCAAAAGCTGGCGAGCTCTGTGGCTGGACCCTGGCCAATGTCAGCAGCGACTGCCTCACTTCCGGGATAGAGTCCTGCTTTGCTGAGCAAGTGCCAGCTGAGAAATTGGCCCTGATTCCGCCGCTCTGGCAAGGCGACAGCTCTCCCTCTTGGAGGGATGTGGCGGGTGGCCTCCGTGTGCACCTTGTTTTCAAGTCCAACAAAAAAAACCTTTTTGCCAGAGAAATGTAATTTCTGTTTAGGTCCTGATGCCACAAACTGTTCCGTTTGGCAAAGGCCCTCAGTTCATGCTTAACTGTAAGCTTATGTTGAAATCCCGTTGACTTTAATGTGACTTGAAATTAAGCAGGTGCTGGCCTGCTTTGCTGAGTAGAGATGGGCTTCCGCATGTGTGTTCGAGTCTCGCCGAACTAGGGTTTTAGGACTGTAATAATCTAAGCCTGTTTAGACTGATGGGACGGGGTTGAGGAGCCGTGCAATTAGCTGTAGATTAATTGAATGAAATTTCCATGCACTAGACCACTTTATTGTTACGGTGCCAGTCTCACCAGGAGTTATCTGAAACTCTCATATTATGGAAACCATGCGCTGAATGTGCCCGAGAGACGATCAGCTCAGCTTCTTCCAGAATAGCTGGTGAGAAGGCTCAGGCATGGTGCCCCAAAACAGCTGAGATCTGCAGACTGTTAGGGTCATAAACTTCAGAGGGGGTAGTCAAGTTAGTCTGTAACTGGAAAAACTTAAAAACCAATGAATAGTCTAGCAGCACCTTAAAGGCTAATAAAACATGTAGATGGTATCATGAGCTTTCATGGGTACAACCCACTTCTTCAGATGACTGGAGTATTAGAAGTCCAGATCCTAGAATAAATAAGGGAAAGTGCGGGGGAGGGCAAAGAGCGTGTGGGGAGGGAAATAGGGGAAAAAAATAGTGAATTGGATTGTTCAAGTTACAAGAGGCTGATAACAATGTGTACCTCTATAAGCACCCAGTGTTTGGTTGGTTAAGTCATGAGGACGTGGAAGGCAGTGTGCGAGTCAGCTGATATCGTTATTCATTCCTCTCTGATCGGAATCAAACTTGTAAATGAAGTTAAGTTCCAACCTTCCTCGTGTATTTGGCTTGTGGAATTGGCCTGAAACAACACGGTGACTTTGAGATCGATTAACGAGTGCTTGGGCAGGTCAAAGTGTTCTCTAGCAGGTCGGAGATCTGATTTGTGTCCATTAATTCTTTCCCGTAGAGACTGCCCAGTTTGGCCAATATCCATGGCAGTGGGGCACTGCTGGTATTTGATGGCATAGATCACATTAGTGGATGTGCAGTTAAAAGAACCCTGATGTAGTGGCTGATGGGGTTGGTCCAGTGATGAAATTGCTAGTGTAGATGTGTGGGCAGAGCTGGTACTGGGGCTGATTGCAGGGGTGGGTTCCTGGGTGATTGTGATGGAGGTGTGTTGCTTGGTTACTGGAAAGAATTTGTTTGAGGTTCAGGGGTTGTTTGTAGGCGAGGATTGGCCTTTCCCTCAAGGCCTGTGAGAATAAGGGGTCATTTTCCAGGATAGTTTGTAGATTGTTGTTAATGCGTTGGAGGGCTTTAGGCTGTGGGCTATAGGTGATGACAAGTGGAATTCTGTTGTTTTCTCTTCTTGGCCTGTGTTGAAGTAGTTCATGTCTGGGTACTCTTCTGGCTCTGTCAATCTGTTTTTTCACTTCTCCGGGTGGGTATTTCAGAATAAGAATGCTCTATATAGATCCTGTTGGTGTTCGTCTCTATCTGTGGGATTGGAGCAAACACCCCGTTTCACAGAGGCTCCCAGGGCAGCTGGACTCAACATGATACCGATATTTCCCATAGAAGCGTAATGCTTCCTCACAGCCGTCTGCCCTTCCTCTGCCACATTGTCTGTTACACGTATTAGTTGCAAACGGGATTGTAAATTCTTGGAGTCGGGGATGCTATCTTGCTTTGTGTTTGGCACCTCAGTCCTGATCCGGGTACTTGGGCACTACAGTAATGCAAATACCAGAGATTATTAATGGCTGTTGCTGTGGGAAATCAAAGCGGTTTTGCTCTTGGTGAATTTGCTGTCACGGGAACCATGCAAAGCCCCGTAGTTTCCGTTCTCAGCAATCAGCATTGCTTTTGTTTTCTCAGCCTGAAAACTTCCACCCAAAACTGATCCCAAACCTCTAAACACAGTAACTCTGCCACCTGAAATCACTGAAGGTTGCATGGTTCCCGCCCACACTTAGCCACCTGGGAAGAGGGAAAAGCCAGGTAGCCGTGTTGTGCTAGGCGGGGTTTTCCCAGACTTAGTGACTATGGCATAGTAGCGGATGCTACATGTGTTTAATTTGAAGAGCAGAGGCAAGAAGTAATATGCTAGCAGGAGACCTGGAGACAGACAGTTTGGGGACTCTAGAGTCAGTGTTTAAACTCATGGTCGTCCATTATATTCCTGAAGTAACAGTGTCCTAACATGAATTAGCTGGAAACTGAGTCACTCTAATCAGTGTGGCCAGCCCCCATGATTGTACTGTCAGTCTTGCAGTATGTGGTGCATTTTCCTGATGCGTCTGTTCCTGGAGTCACGTTAGCTTGTGAATCTGTCAGCTTTTATTTAAGTTTCTAGCCTTCGTGGTTGTAGAGGGAAGCTTGAAGATGCAGCATGGTCATATCCCAAAGGCTCAGAAACCAGATGACAAAAAAAGGAACTGAAAACATTATTTGCTTACATCTCCTGGTTTTCTAAGTCAATCTCGTACTTTTGCAGGGAGACAGACTTGTGGTTGTTGAATGTTTTCAGCTGGCAATACCGAACCTGGCTCGGATCCTAGGCTTAAAGCCCTACGCTGGCATGCCATCCAGTTTGGTATCAGATGCTTTGCGTAGCTCTAACTGTTACTAGCTGAACTGCGATAGTGGTTTGAAAACAAAAGGGAACAAAACATGTTCTGAATCTCAAGGGCAACCAGGCTGCAACATCCTGTCCTGTTGACTTTGTACCACTCCAGTTAATGGGAGCCGTGGATTGAATTTTATCTAGATGGCATTAATGCTGACGATAGGCTTCAGTCCCTTCATGCTAGTCTGCGTTTGTTTTTTTTCAGGAGCCAGGCCTAAGAGAATCCAAAGGAACAGCATGGACAGCTTAGACCTCTTGAAGTTCCCCTCGGAAAAGGTAAGCAGAGCTGTCTGTTGAAGGAGGCGTGGAGGGAGGAGGCAGGGAGCACAACCAAAGTCACATTTGCTGGCCAAGGAGATTAAATATCAGCAGGACTCTCTGATGGCTCATTGGCTGGGTTCATCTAACGGGGCACATGCAATTAGTAGATATCAGCAGAGTCGCTGGGATTAACCAAAGGCGATTTCTAGGGAGCCTGGAAGAGAGGACCCGCTGGTGGAGCTAAATAAGGCACTTAGCTGCTGCTTTTTGAAAAACAATCGTGCCCGGAGAGGACGAGAATTAGCATTTAACCCCGTTAGCTCTCGGTGGCCAATCTCGGTCCCCCCGTTTTGGGGCGGGGTTATTGCTCAGGGTGAAGGCGGAAGGAGAGGCCAGTGCCTTGACGTTACCACCGGGTTTTGCTCTGTTAGCACGTGACCCCCCAGATGCCATGAACAGGAGTGGTAAGGGGCCGGCAGCCATTGGGGACTAGTGCAGCCATCTGGCGCCTGCGGCCAGGGTCAGGCTGGACCCGAACTCACTGGCAGCAGCAGGGGGAAACCACAACATGGCGCTGCTCCCCTGGCTCCTGGCCACCTCCCGCACTCAGTGGCAGGAGGCCGAGTGACACAGCTGGCATCTGCTGGAGCAGGGCAGGGAAGAGGCGGGGACAGGGCGGAGCAGGGGGGCTGTCCTCGTCCTCTCACAGGGTAAGGGTGGCACAAGAAGGGGTCAGGGTGGTGGTGATCACGTGGCCAGTGCTTCCCCCCCCCCCCCCCCTTGGCCCCCCCCCC